CCCTAAGAACCAGCAAAAGAATCTATTCTGTTAGCTAACAATTTTTTTTGTATTTGAGGGTTGTAAGTATATTGATGATAGCTAAGAAGCCACAACCATCCCTGGTCTCTGCAGTATCTGTTGTATCTCAAAAATTGCATGTGAAATATGCAAAAGCTAAATATAATATATTATAAGAAATTATTGATTAAATATTTCTCTCCAAATAATTTTTTTTTTCTCGAATTGACTGTTTGACCCATTTTCTACGTTTTTTTTTTTTTGGATTTTTACTTCTTGGATTAAAAATGTACAATCAGGTGTAAAAAAAATTTCTTTTTGAAGTACAGTCTGACTTTAGAAAAAATTTTTTCATGTTATTTATCTATTGTTATTCCAAGAGGACCTATAAATCAAAACTTTTTTTTACAAAAACGAATGATAGTAATAAATAGCTTTTTATGTTCAAAGTGGTTCGTGAAACAAATACATTATTTCTTTTTTTTTTTTTAAACTTTCAATTTCATTCCATCACACAACCTATCTGGTATATTTAAATTTATGATTTTCTTTATCGTTAAATTCATTTTCAAAAGTTTACAATGTGGTGAAAAATATTTATTTGTATTATTTAAAACCTTCAGAGGTAATGTTAAATAAATATCATTGTCAGTTTTATCAACGTCCTTATGGGTTGCAAAATCGATGCTTTAATAGATTTTAACCTTATCTTAATGTTGATAACACACTTTTTCATTTAATAAAATTATGTATGTATTCTGTGTCATTAAAATGACATTATTTTAAAAGTGGTTATTTGTATTGTTTTCAATTTGTCAACAAACATCATTTATTAACTTACTAACGGTGATTGGGAATTTTTTCATTTTCCCTTTACATAAATCTCATGGTATTAATGCAAAATCTGCATACGCATAACGTAAGCTTTTTTTCAAATTAACTATTGTAAGTTCTTGACATACATAAGAATATTTTATTGTGTTTACCATTATTAATGATTCTCAACCGTGATACGTGAAAAAATTGTGGCTTGGGATGCACGCAAGATAATAAAAACGTTTTGTATTGGATAGTCCTTTATTATTTATATCAGTGAGGAAGGAGTGTATTATCGAACATTGTGTCTCAACTCTCATTACAAACTCCTCTCAATCCTCTTGACCAACTGCCCTGATCTTCCCAGCTCTTTTATCCTTGAGGGCCCAAACAAGGAGGGGCCCACCAATGCATGGCTATATGCTATCGTACGTAACATGTCTAAGGCTGCAAGGTCTTCATCCTTGACGGCGATAACTTTTTCCTTTCTAATAATGTTGTGTCTGTGTTGTGGTACTTATGTCGTATGTATGAGATTCATTGAAAATAAAGAGGACGGGTTTTATTTCTCAGTCCCTGTTTCTTTTCATAATTTCTTACGCTATGTAGGTAGTGTATACATACATATTTATCTGGGCACTCTTCCCTTTTGTAATCGTTGTATGAGTCTTAAAACTTTTTTATGCTCTGTTTATGACACAACTTTTTTCATACATACTCTCTATTCTTTTTTTATTCTTGTCAGGACGTTTCACAACTGATTATAAAACAAATTGTTTCTCTTACATTTTTTGTGTTTATCTAACAGTATTTGAGTCTTAGCTAATCATTCATTTCATCAATACATATTTTTTGTTTTGCAAAAACACATAGGCATTATGCAATGTGTGATAATAACAACAATTTCTGTATCTCATTTTTTTTACTAGTTATTTATTTTATTTGCTTATTAAATATTGCTACAGCTTGGCTAACACTCTCATGGTTAATCAAGCTGCATATGGATGATTATTGGTTGCAGTGCTGTAGAATTCATCGTCATACTATCTCTTGTAAAAGTAATTCCCCTCCATCTATCTATGAACATTCTCGATAAATTTAGTATTTACGGGGCCCCTCACTTTTACAAGGCACTTTTATAAGAAAAATTGTGGAAAAGAAAAAGAAAATGTGTAACCGAACTGTACTAAACTTTTGCACTCAACGTAGTGGGGTGGAAATGATATATACATAATTGAAAATTATATTAAATTATTTCTTTCTTTAGATAATTACGTTTTGCACCCCTTTTACACATATTGGTGCTTGAGTTATATTAAATTTTTATTTTTCTATGGATAATTATTTTATCTACAAAATGGTTGTATTAATTTGCTCATTTACATATTGTTATAACATCACTCTTTACGTTATCTCAGTAGATTATCAAGAAGGTGTCAATACTTGAGTAGTTAAATCATTTTTAAGTGGGCCCCTTTTTCCAAATATAAATTAACTTTATTACTTAGTTGATATTGCCTAAGTCCTCACATTTTCCAACGAATGAAGTTGTGAATTAAGTAGCGACTGTAGCGTTGGTGCTGCATTCAAACTATTAGCTGCCGTTTGTGCCTCCAGTGGAAAACGAAACGTCACCTTATAACTCGAATAAGCCGTACTACAGGGTTTCCGTTCCATGGAATGCACTGTTTCGAGATTCTTGAGTATTACTTTCAGCATGAGTTGTCTATAATTTCTTGTTAATATTATGTTAAGTCAGTGTTTATTAACCATTGCTTCGACGATTTTAGAGTTTTGTTTATCCATTGTGAGTGCAATTCTGCAAGCGTAAGTATAATGGGTGTTGGGATCATTATTGATTGATACATGTACATGCACGACTTCTGTTGTAGTGTATTTAATGCTATTTTTAGTTTTAATCATTCGTAGGTTATATGTGAAATGTAAATCTTAAAATAAAATAAAGTTTATAAAACAGTTGGATGACGGGTAGGAGGTACATGGATAGATGCAATCATTACTCATCATGCTATGCCAAAATATTTGCGGACTCATAATGGAATGGAATAAGTAATTTTGATGAATGCTAAAGCTTGATACTAGAAAAAAAATTTTACAGTAGAGTATACAACTGTGATAAAAAATAACATGAGTTTTAACTTTAAAGCCTTGAAGGTTTTTTTTTAATTTATTTATTTTTTTCTTTCCTAATATTTGTGTCTACTAACATTGTTTAAATAAGTAGCGGCAATAAATAACTAAAAATAAATTTGCTCATTAGTTTTATAAAGCTTAAAACTAAAATCTCAGAATGAAGCAATGCGTTTTTTTGACGTAGGAAGTAGCCAGTCGTACGGTAGGGTTTAATTATTGGGCTCATTTTCTGTTACTTTTGATTTTTTTTTTCGTAAATCAATGATTTTGATAAAGGTTGGCTTTGTTTCTGAAGTTTGTGTACATTGTTGACTTCTGCATATAATGACATGTCTTTGATATGTTCTTAACTTAATTTGTTCTTGATTTAAAGAGTGAGTCAACTTCTTGTTTAATCTGTGTTTTGCGCTCTTTTCAATTGGATCGCCATATTTCGTGCTATGCTTGGGTTCATCGTTCTGCAACGCGAGAATGGTACTCTCAGGAGTCATGTATTTTACATATCCTTAGAATACGTAATGATAATAATCTTTCTCTTGGATCTCTGATGGCATAACAATATTTTATGGTACCACATTAAGAGAAATATTAAAAGAAATCTCTCTCTTCTTTATTTGTTCTATATCTCACGGTAGAACACACGTAAGTCTTTTTGAATCAAAGTTTGGTGTATGATTACCGCTTTTAGTGATGTTGGTAAAGAAATCTTTTCTGTCTGAGAAATAGTGAATTTCAGCTTAAAAATAGAAAATGTCTGAGCATCCTTTACTTTTTTCAGTGTTTTATGAGATTTTTTTATTAAATAAATCACTATTGTGAATGGTGGTTATAGTTCGATGTGTATAACTATGTAAATCCAGAAGGATGTGTATTTCCTTGATGTTTCCTTGTATCTCAAATTGCTTAACAATTTTATAATAAGGATGTTTAACGTTGGTTCTAGTTTTTATTGTTACTTTACATTCGGGGTTTATCATGCAACCTGGAAGGAAAATAGTATCAAATTACTTTTGATTTATAAGTTCATTTCTTACTTTTGGGTTGTATGGTGTGGGAGAATCAAACTCTGCGTGTCCATTATAGGTCAAGTTTAAGATGATTTAGGTATTTTTTGATTTTCCTTAATTTGGACATAAGGTTCAGTTTAATCATATTCTTTTAGTTCTTGTTCAATGGTTACATAAGGTTCTGCGTTCAGTGGACTAATGGTGCGTTTTATAAATTTTTTCGAGACACTCCGTTTTATAGTCTTCTTAAAACAGCTTGTTGCTTTGCTGACGAGTATTGCTATTACAATGGTAATTATAATAGCTTTAATGTTGTTGCGTCTCAAAATAGGAAGAAAAATTTGTTTTTATTTTAACTTGCGGGTTTGTATTTTCTTCATTTGATTTATTATACTTTGTAAGGTTCTGCGTTCAGTGGACTGATGGTGTGTTTTATAAATTTTTTCGAGACACTCCGTTTTATAGTCTTCTTAAAACAGCTTGTTGCTTTATTGACTAGTATTGCTATAAGAATTGTAATTATAATAGCTTTAATGTTATTGCGTCTCAATATAGAAAGAAAAATTTATTTTTATTCCAACTTGCGGGTTCGTATTTTCTCCATTTGATTTATTATATTTTGTACATTTGATTGTCTATTTGTCCATAAATGTTCATTAAAGTTTATTCCTTGAATCAATTTTAGATTGTTATGAAAGGCATTGCTGTTCGTTAAAGGTTCATATAATACAGCTAAGTCTAAGTTTACTTCTACTTGATAGGTATATTGTATCTGAGTGATAATTCTATGCTCACTTGTTAAGGGTAGTCAGTGTGTTTTTCCCTTACACCCGTAATCTATTCGTAAAAGACCTATACCTTTCATCCTTTCTTGTTGATTCATTCAACTAGAGCAGATGATGCTTAATTGTTTTTCATAAGTTGTCATGAATTACCATAAATTATCAGCTGGTAAGTTAATCTATTGACTTTCTGTTTTCAGAGAAAATATAATTTTTCATTATTTTAATACTTATGTTACAGGTGGTAATACCATAAGAAGCTTACATTCGTTCATAGAGTAGGGATTTTCAATGGTTTCATAGTAGAGCATATAATATAACCATGTACTGTTTTATCACATTGGTTAAATGTCAATTTAGTCAATTGTAAATATGAATTATGGTCTGCTGCTACTGCTAAATAAGAATACATTTCATGTAGAAACATCTATTTTGATTAGGTTAAGGTATCATGACTGGATGTAGTCTTTGAAGATCGTAAGGGATTTGACCTAAAAGTGGCAAATGTAATAGTATCATAGTTAAATTTTTTTGATGCACAAAATCTCATTTGCTTAGAGTGCTTGTTTCACCAGAATAAAGATTCTCTTTTAGTGCTATGAATCTTAGATTCCCTCATAGGTTTTCTTTATTTTGGGCTAGGACTCTAAATATATTTGAAAAAACCTTAAATATAAAAATATTATAAGGTAGACTGAGTTCTACTGAGGTTAGTTTATCAATGTATTAGACATCTGTTGAGAGTAAAATCTTGTCCTTAAGTAAGTATATCAGCAACTTGTTTGAGGATATGCTTATGGTGTTTCGTAGTATTATATAGTTCTTTTAATGCAGCTGCAAAAGGATGGCTATTTTGTTCATACAATTTGATATATACCTTTTGATTAGCATGCAAATTGTTAATATTAGTGCTCAAAACGTCGATATCGTCTTCTGTGACTAAGCTTAGAAGTCCTTTAGCAATGCTTCCAGTAATTTGTAAATGAGTCAGTCTTTTTGCTTGTATGCTGATAGGTGAAATAATGTAATATTTTACATAGGTTCCAACAGTATTTATTATGTTTAATAGTGTTGCTTTGAGATTTGTCAATCGCATTGTCTATACATTCAAAAGGTCCATTTCTATATGGTTAGTATAATTAGAGTAACCAAACTGTGCATTATAATTTCGAAAGGTTTCATTTACTTCTTGAGTAGGTGTATGTTCCAATGTGAATCTATTAATATCAAGCCATATCACTATCTTTCAGTCGGCTTTTTGAGTTTTTGTAATACCGATTTGTTTATTGTACATGCCAGGACTCGTTTCCAGTGGTTCTATATTGTAGCTTTCATGATTACGTTGGTTTGAATCAGCGCAACCTTTAAGCACTATTGTCATGAAGATGGCGAATGTCATCTGCATCGTTTTTTTTTTTTTCGCTGGGAGACATGTCATTCATAATGCTTACAAGGATATTATTATTGGGGAACAACTTTTAATGTATCTGTGTGTTTACGTATAATTTTATCATTATTTTTATTTAAGTCATAGATTCTTTTCCTTTAAAACTGCTTTAACTTTTAGGAGCTCATCACAATAGCAATCAAACTCGTTGAAACGTAATTCTTTCTTTACCCAAACGTGTTCTCGTAGTTTAACATTCAGAGGCTTTAATTTTTTATCGTATCTTATTTTTACTTTTTTTTTATTTTTATTTGCTAATATCCTGCCGCAATAAGCTTTTTTTAAGTCGCTTTACGAGATCTAATAAGTATAATGGATTGGTTTGTAACCTTCCGTCTTTAGGTACTTTCAAGAGCAACCGTGCTATTCTTACAAAAACTAGTTCATAGGGTATTAACTTTGTTGCTGCATGTATACTCATATTATACGTGAAAGCTGCAAATTTAGCCAAACTGTCTCAGTCATCATAAGTTTCAGAGGAAGCTCTTATAAAGTCAGCTAAGGCAGCATGACTTTGTTTTAGTGATTCACTTGTTTCAGGATGATATGTAGTGAGATGATTGGTCATTAAGGTTCTCATGAGTTGTTCTATTATATTAAATATAAATGTAGCATGTCTATCAGATAAAATTGCTCTAGACGTTCTGTAAACTTATATGAGATTTTGTACTAGTGCATTGGCGAGTGTGCTCAATCTTAGATCTAGTACAGGGACGAATGTAATGTACTTCGTCAAATTCCACTGTATGGTTTAAAAATGGCAATTACCATTTGGCGTATCCTTAATTTACCGACAGTTTATTAGTAGTAACTTGATCAAAAGCTTGAATAGGTGTATTCGTAGGTACTAGGGATTCTCTCGTTTTTATCCGTTTAATATTTTTTGACATTTACTGCATTGTTGGACGTATTTCAAAATATAATTTTTCATACCTGGCAAATAAAATCATTCTCGTATTTTCTGATAAAATAAATCTAATTGCTTATGTCCTTTAACAGGGCTGTCATGTAGTGTTTATATTATTTCATTACGTGTCTGAATTTTCGTAAAATCAATTTTACCGTAACAGACAGTAGTTTGTGGAGTTGTTTAATCAAAAGTTGTTAATGATAATTCTGCTATCAATTCACGTTCTAATTTGTCTGTAAGATCTCCCTTTCTCGAAATTTGGAGAGTCTTAAGATTTCGTCTAAATAATTTTTTCCTGTGTGATTTAAAAGCTTTTGTCAGACTTTCTAAAAACATTAAATTGATTGGTGTTTCACTAATAATTGACAGTAAGCCTGTATTATCTCCCCCATAAGGTGTTATTGCTATTTGGCTAACTTTTAGTTTCTTTGATTCTAAGTAATAAGGGTCCAGTGCACCTATCGATCTCAACAGTGTTGAGACAGATGTGACTGGTTGACAATTTTTTCAAATAAAATAAACTACGTTGTTTCTTTCGTATGTAAGGTAATATTTGGTTGTACTGACATTGGTTTTTAGCTTAGCTGTATTTACATTTTTATAATCGTTAGTATTACTGCTACTATCACGAAGACTCACATATACCTTTCCATACTGTTGTTTGTATCAATTGATTGTTTGAGAAGGATATACGTATAGTACCATACAATCTGATGCAATACTTTGATTCAAAATTAACTTTTACTGCTGTTTGTTTGTTTGTTGTTGTTTTCATTTAAGGTGTCTAAGGTTTCTTCAGTTATTTGTTCCAGTGCTTTGGTTGGTCTGTTTTTTGCAATAACAGATGTTGTCGTGTGCATCGGTGTACAAGAACTTAAGGGAGTATTTTCCTGAATATGAAGGTTAAAATATAATTTTCAACGCGTCATATATTTTTTTAAAATCTTATCTTTATTAAATAAAGATCTCATTTGTATGCTTTGATCAGTCTGCAATTTTTTTATCTAATACAAAATTGTTAAAGCTATCGAAGTCATTAGGGTCCATTTTGATTAATATGTCCTGAATTTCGAAATCCAGCTTATCTCCATCAGAAAATCTTGTTACTGATAAAAAATACGTATCAGCTTGCTCAGGTTTATTGTAGTCGTTAGATTTCTAAAAATATTCTTGAAGATAGTGGTTAAATTTTTTGACAATTCTTGTATTTCTTGATAAGTAACCTTATCAATATTGCTTGTTGTATTTTCAGATTGGTCTATAACAACATCATCGTTTGAACCTTGCCTAATTAAAATGATTGTAACAAAGATTACAGTATTTGTCGCGTCTGGGTCTGAGTCAGTATCTGTATTTAAGTCTACTTTCATTTCAGTCGATTTTTGCCGTAATGCAAGGGGTTGTCTAGGGCCTTTAGCCAATTCAGGTACATTTATTCCTGGTTTGGTCATGTTTTTAGGTCTTATTACTTCCACGGTCTTCTTCAAAGTTGTTGGCAATGCTTTACATTTGTAGTCGTTAAATAAGATGATCTTACTATTTATTTCTTCTGACTATGTAGTTCTGTTTTCCTCTTTTCACCTTTTTTTCTCACTCATCATCATTACTCTCAATAATGGTAATGCATTACTTATATCGTTTTCCCGCATACAAAAATGGTCTTACTCGATTTTTAGATAATGCATTAGCATTGGTATTGAATTTTTCTGGCTTGTATTTAAAAATGTATTTATAATCGGTGAACTTAAACATATAGCACATTAAACGCTGCCCTGGGTCTTCTCTTGTATGCATCTAATTTAATGGCTTATGATCAGCTACAACAACGAACTTTCTTTTTAATAAATACAAATTGAAATGGATAGTCAAACTCATCTTTTCCTTGACTTAATACTGCTTCATTAGCGTAGTTAGATACGTCTGTTGTTAAGTTAAATGATTTACTGAAGTTGGAAAATTGTAGTAGACTTTGACATAGATGGTCTCTTAATATTTGAGAACTCTATTCTTGCTCTTTGGTCTATCAAATTTTTTTTTTTTTTTTTTAATAAATCTGATATTGGCTCAGATATTTTCGAAAATTTTTTAATGAAACGTTGATAACATCATGATAGCCCTAAGAAATTTTTTATATTTTCCATAGTTTTTGGTTGAGGAAATTCTCTAGCAGGTTGTATCTCTTTAGGGTCTAGTTAAATTTTTTGTTGACTTACTGTATACAAAAAAAATATCACTTTTTTTTGCAAAAATTCAGCTTTATCTGACTAAAGTAATTTATTCAGTAAACTTAGCTAGTTAAAAAGTGAGCTAACTTTACGAACATGATCTACTAGATCGTTTGCGTAAATAATATTATCATTTGAATACACCAACATGTCAACATTTCATAAACTTCTTAATTAAGAGATTGATTAGTTGTTAGAAAGTAGCAGGTATGTTTTTCAAGTCTGTAGGCATTCATCTGTATTGGTGATGTCTATGGGGTATCATAAATGCTATCGTATATTTATCATGTTCAGCCATAGGAATTCGTTTAAATCCACTTGCTAAATCAAAACCTAAAGAATATACCGATCATCCCAACTAATCCATAATATTTGGGATGTTAGGTAATTGATATGCATTACCAATGGTCTTTTTATTAAGTTCTCGGAAACCAATAACTAACCTCTATCTTGGATTTCTATGGTAGTCAAGTTTTCTTGGAACATTCAAGAGAGATGAGTTATACGGTGATGACGAGGGCTCAGTTACTCCATCGTTCAGTTTTTTAGCTACAAGCTCTTCTAAGACTTTTGTATGCACCGGTGGGTGACGATATTATTTAGTTTTAATAGGGATGTTATTTGCTGTCGGGATTTTATGCGCAACATAATGATTACAGGGTTAAGCGTCTCCTGGTACTATAAAAGATTTCTGGAAATC